CGTTTTGCTGGCCATGCCAGCTGTCATCTTCATTTGGGGACCGAGCAGGTTTTTACATCCCAAGAGCCGCAAAATCAGCTTCCCGCTTACTTTCTTAAACATGAATGCATATTAAATACACAATCAGTATTCATAGCATTGCAATATAATTAATTGTTTTATTGTTACCGCTACCTAGCAACTATTTATTATTATTTTTGCTAATTCCTCAAATTATTTCTTCACATAACCTTAAAGTTGTAGTTGTGTTGACTATCAGTGTGCATTATTATTGTGGTGAAAAGTGGTAATAGGGTAGACTGTGGTGAAAAATAGCGTTCGTACCACGGACCGAAATGGTTTTCCAACTATCTCGAGCCGGCAAACCCTCATTTTCGTCCCTAGGTACGAAATATTATTCATACACAGCAACTGACAACAAAACAAAAACTCATGCATACAACATTATGATGAATATAAATTTAATATTAATGTGGAGGAATTCCTTCCTTCTCTTTACTTAGCACTTCTAGTTAGCACTTTCTTCTGCTAACTATATCAGTGTGAACTTGTGTCGATTGGCCAGGCCGTGTGAATATGGACGCGTTCTACTTTAACAATCCGGTCGGATTTGTATTCATTAAAAAATGAGTAGGCTAGTAAAGGATTATTTGGTTCCTACCACACCATTCTCGTTTGTTAAAGATAAAATTACAAAGGATTGGCACAAATTACTTGACTCAATATGGCTTTTCCATCAAATGTATTAATTTATTTGTTTAATTGGCTATATTTGGTATATTTATTTGTTTTTTTTCCTATTTTTTGTTGAGCAATTTTATTTCAAAATTATCTTGATCAAAACTACTTTACAGGGTGTTAAATCTGTAGTTTCACATGGTTTCACCCATTTCCCCCAAAATTTGCTTGAATTCGTTTTACATTGTAAAAATACATAAAAGGAGTATGAAATATATAAATAAATCTGATACCGGTGCCTTGTTGTTACAATAACATTTATGAAAGTAAATTTACTTAAAAATCTACCCTACCAAAATTCAAAATTACAGTTTTAGATTTCTTCCCCTGCCTCGCTAATGGAAATAATTTGTATTAAGTTAAACAGTATACATAATGATATTCATAAAATAACTAAAATTCTATCAATTAAAAACTGTACCTTGGAACAGATGCAATCACAAAATCAGTCCCAGTATTAAACGTATAGATTTAACGGGAACCTTTCTTTCTGTAAATATTTGATCAAATCCGTCAGCGGATTTTTCAGAAAAGTTCAGCTTTGTTTTCGAATTTCAGAGATTGGAAATACGTTTGAAAAATACAATAGTATCAATTTTTTTAAACGTAAAATAATGCTAGATACATTACCGATATTTATGAAGTATTGGCATAGAACAAATATTAATTCCCGCAGTTAATCATATAAACTTATTTTTAAAAAAATCATTTTCGAAGCATTATAAACTAACTTATGGGTTTCTTACTACTTTCTACAACCCAAACACCATCAATTTAGAAAAAAAAAACTTATAGCCTGGTTTTAGTTTGAAATAAGATGTTCAATCAATGCTTTTTGGATTTGTTAAAACACCATTTAAACTTTCCGAATGCAATTTTATTAACTCTGAAAATCTTTTCGAAGTTCCTGTTAAACAAACGAATTGGAAAGAGGGTGCCGTTAATCAAATTATCGGCAAAAGTTTGTAATTTATGTTTCTCAACATGTTGTTAAACACCAATAAATTAATTGTTGATAAATGAATAACCCTGGGCGTTTTGGCAATTTTACTCTCAAGCCATAGTGGCATTTTTATAATATTAAATTTAAACTAAATCCCCTATATTTCCAAATTAGTTTTGATTAAAGGTTTTTAACGTGATATACATTCAGTTAAATGCTTAACATGTTTACTTGTTTTAGTTTGGAAGAGGTCAATTTTAACAAGAAATATTATGAATTAAAACGGTATCGGTGTAAACGGTTACACATACTTTTTTCGTTAGTTTGTCAACAACCTTGGAAGTACTGTAACTATGATATTTTATGGGGGTAGATCACAAAGGTTGCAAAAACCATTTAACCGTAATTTTTACAAAATTGGGGTTTGTACCATTTTGTTCATAGTTAAAGAGACCATAACGTAATTAATGTGAAACATAATCGGTCGACCCATTTGTAGGAATGTCCAATTTGGCTTTAGTTTATGTGTTTTTATCACCAATGAACACCAATGAAAATTAAATTAATAAATTAATTCATAGAAATACCACGATGTAGTCTGTAGCTCTGCTTTGGGGTCGACCGTTAAGAACCCCATACTCAACGGGTAAACTCACTAAGGTCCCTAACTAATGTTGTTGGAATGGGAAATAGAAGAAGACCCGTCATGTAGCTGTCATGCCCCCCCCCCCTTTGAGACCCCAAGTCAAACACAAATAGTAGGACCAAGTGGAAAAGGACCTAAGGAGTCTGGGAAGTGGAAAGAAGAGACAAGAGATGAAATTGAGGCGTTGTGTTGCGGAGGCCAAGTAATACTTGGGGTACCGCAGCGATATGTTTTAAAATTTTAAAAACTTTTAAAAAATGTATTGACAAATTGTAGATACAAAAATGTGTAAAATCGATAATTGTGTACCTAAATTTTAAAAAATTTCCGGATCCCCCCTCTTTTATGGGGGGTTTTCGTATTTTACTGGGGTGTCTGGGGGCTACGAAATAGCCCCTAGACACCCCAGCACCCGGAAAAGAGAGATGGAGACCCATAAATGAATAGTACATATTTATGAAGAGGATACACATTTTGTGTCGCTAAAGTAAACTCCCTCACAACAAATATTCTTTTCCTACAGTCACCCGACAAAGTTGGCTTCCTTGTACTGTTTATAGTACAGAAAGCTGCTAATTGCTGTATATTTATACTTTGCCGTGCGGTTTATACTTTGTCGTAAGGTTTATACTTTGCCGCACATCAGGATTCCAACGAAACAACACAAAACAGCGTGGTTCTATTATGCAAGTAATCCGTGTACGCTTGGAAATAGGTTGGCAACACTTAAAGATAATTATACTATGAGCAGCTGATTGACTATTATAACTACGATTTAACCTGTCATTTCGTGTTTAAAGTTTCGGTATTTCTGAACTTTCTGGACTTTTCTTTTAAACATTTTTAAAACATTCCTACGATCTTAATAAACAAGAAAATACCTTTAAAGCATTTTTTTAAGGCGCGGAAACCACTTCAAATTACAAAAACATACGGAACTATATTCTCAAAACCCCGAGCACATTTCTTGCCGAGGAAAAATAGCGGAGTGATACGGACCGCGGGTACTACTTTCTCTAGGGCACCATTTGTGTTGCCAGCTGAACCTAAAAACGTGTTGTATAGTGTTTGAAAGACTAATTATTTATATGCTTTATAGTGACTGTAGGAAAAATATAATGTGTAACACGAGTGAAAAAGGCCTTTGCTGCACTCGAGATCATTCCTCTCGTAAACATTGCTCTCGTGTGCAGCAAAGTGCCACTTTCACCACTAGTTACACAAATAACTATTTCGTTCTGAAAGTTTTCTATAACTTTGGTTTTCTGGGCGGTAGATGAACAAGCTCCTAAATATTATCCTAATCGATGTTGAGATGTTCTTCGTAAAACCTTGACATGTCTTAGTCACACATTAGACAGCGAGAATGTTCGACACAAGTTTGTGAGTTGCCAGTTATCACAAAACAAGGTCACAGCATAGTAGTGATAACGCTAATAATTGGTGTAGTACACCGTTAGGTTACAAACCCTTATCACAACTAGGGCTGACTTTGATGGTTGGATTTGATACTGTAGTTAGTTTCAAGCGAACGATTTCAATCAGATGTTCACTTAACATTAATTACTTTTAACTTTAAAATACATCGACGTAATTTGTGTACGTATTTTACCCTAAATATGAAAGCAGGAAGGAAATGGAATGGGTCGTCTGTTTGGTTCTGTTACTGTCTAAGATGTTTCTTTGGCTTTGGTTTTCATTCGGAAACTGGGTCCAACCATTGGTTGAACATTCGTCCTCCTTATCATCTTTAGGTACCATTTTTTTAACGTCTTATTTCTTGTTGTTTACGACTTATTTCTTGTTGTTTAACCAGTATTAGCAATTGGTGAAAAAATGTCAATCAACTAAAACTAAACAACTACTGCAAAGTAAACAGCCAAACAACTTTTTACTGTACTAACCAAATAACCAATAACTAAACAACAAACTAAAATTATGTCAACCAAATAAACGGAAATAATTTCTAATTATAAACTATTGCTTTACGTACCGTATTGTAACGAAAAAGTTTAAGCAGATATTGTAAAAACAGCCCTACAAAGGAACGTGGTCGAAATTAGCACGCCAAACACGCATACTGTAAACAAATCTTCGGATTTTGCAATATGATAATTCAACTTGCATTATTTAAAGTCAATGCGACGTTAAAATAGGAATTGAATTACTATATCCATGATTAAAGATTAAATACATAATTTTAGATGCTGAATAACTTCAAAGGAGTAGGTCTGTCACCTGTGCAGTCTGTCTACAGTGAAATGGGTATTTTACTTATCATCTGATACCTACATGAGAAATTGAACAACGTTCACTAACTATAAATGTGTTAGGGAGGGGTAAATATGAATATATATTATTCAAGGAACGTCTTAGATTCTCGGCACACAACACATTTGAGTTTTGGGCCGCTTTCCATAAAAGTGTTATTTCAGTACACACTGTACATTTTTTCCCGCATAAAAATGTCTCGCTGACGAAAATAAAGGGAAAACTAACAATGTAGCTATCAACAATGTAATAGAGATTTAATAGTCATTGGTTATTTGAACGAATGGTTCTGGGTAAAAATCAGCTGATTACTCAGTAACAGAAACTGTCATTTTACAATCATTACTCATTACTTCTCATTAGAACACTGAGTGTCGGCGTCACAACTAATCTGTCACTTACCATTTCTCTTGGTTCCCTCCTTGTTTTTCGATTTCCTGGGATAGATGATTCCTATCTGACTCTGGCCGCAGCCCATGGTCCTAGGGTCGCCCCATTGGCTCACACTATCACATCACACTACTGTCACTGCACTCACTGCTCAACTCAACTCTGCTAACACTATTGACCTCACACAACGCGCTGAACGCTGAAACGCTGATCCACTGTAACACTTGTTGAGCTCCTCAGCGCCCGGACTGACTCCCGCCTCCCACTGTAGGGTTGCCAACCCACACTCTCCCGGCAGCAAATTTCCCTACCGCCCCCTAATTGCCCCATTGTGGTCCTATGTCAATTTTCCACCGCGATGCCTCCAGTGATCTCAATGGGGTTATTTTTGCGTGCTTTTGTAGTGCTTTGACCGGTGAAGTGTGTGATGGAGGTGTAGAGGTGTGTCGCCGTAGGAAAACGTTGGCATTGACGAAATTAATTACTTGAAAGCATGTTGTATTTATAAACTCAAATTTGATTTATAAAATGGCTCAGTTGATGGCACAAATAAACTACTGTATGTAAATGTTTTCAACACTTTCCACCCGATTTTGGCCCAAACACCCCAGACGTCAATTTTCCACCAGGATGTCTTTAAAATGGAAATGGGGTGTCTAGTTTTATATCCATAAATTAAAATATTACCAACCCTCTATAGCCTGGGTAGGTTGATTTTTATTCCCTATTAAAAGTCCTTTGTGCCATGTTCAGAGTATCAGAAAAGTAGTGTCTCCATTTCAATCGGTAATATCCACGAATATTAGGACAGAAACGGTATGGATCATAATTCATAAACATAAACAAATGACGTAACTCGTAAGATAATGAACTAATGAACATGTAATATACCTACTAAGATTTAAATTGGACCATCAAAACCAACCGTTACGTTGATTAGTATATAATGTCAATATCATTGACTATTGGATACTGAAATAGTCAAAGATAATATACTCGAGGTATTTAAACAAATTGTACATGGTCCATACCGTTTCTGCTTTTATATCCGTGTGTATTGGTATTAATAATAGGTTGCGCAAAGACTTATTAAGGAACTTTTAAAAGTTACAATAAAAATTAAATAAAAAAAACATTATTTTGATGTTACAATAGTCTGTATGATTACATTAAGTTTTGCTAGAGTCCCCCAATCAGTTACAACTAAAACGCCCACGATGCATTGCCCAGTTCCGTTGTAGTACACATTTTTAAATCTCGTGTTAAAATGGTAACCAAAACGGAAACGAGGTTTACACAGCTGCATGTAGCAAGTAGGCCACCGGCCACAGGCTGTTGCTATTGGCTCAGCTCCCATCCCACTGATATGAAGACGGACATCATACTGGACGACCACGACAGTGCGTTTATATGTCGATAGTGAATGTGATGTCGGATGAACAAGAATCATCTTGGTGTTGCAATAGTACATAATAATTATCATATTGTGGTATCGGATGCACGAGAATAATGTACAATTAATATTATGAATTCCTCTCGTTTGCTGGTTATGTTTGATGTTGGAGAATACTCTATGCCAACATTATCTTTGTTATGCCTGTTTTTTAGCTGATGTATGTTTGTTTTGTTCCAAAATCTATTTCATTCTTGTTATTCGTTCATAGATTTATTGTTGTTAATGTTTCACGTAGAAGTTATTGTCATCATAGTTTATAAAGTCTTACAATTTCATAAATTTTTCCAACCGTTAACTGCAACGAAGATGAAATATTTCAAACACAAATATTTTTATTCTTAGTTTATGATTGGCTGGGTAGCTGAGTGGTTATAGTGCTCGCCTAGTAATAGGTCGCCGGCTCGATCCTGAGAAAAGTCAGTAGCTTTTTGATGGTTCGAAACTGGACCCAGCTGTTCCTGATCATGGGCTTTAAATAAACTAGCTGTTACCCACGGGCTTCGCCCCGTTTGACATCATAAGTATTAATAAAACTATTGATTGGTTAAGTTAACCTGAAATAAACAAAATACAGTAAAAGAAACAAATAATCACACCTGATTTTAATAAGGTAATAAATTGAAAGAATAACAAACAAATAAGTACAGCTGAGATATTTTTAACATCAGGTATATGAAAAGTTCCCTTTAGAAAGGAATTACGACCTTAAAGGGCAATTTATGAAATAATGGATAATTTTGCGCAAGGTTTCTCGTCATGACGAACATTTTAAGTATATAGATTATGGGGGTGTGACTTGTAGTTTTCTCAAAAGTTCATGGGTACTTTTGGCTTTATATATGACTTTATATATGATTAGTTCATCCTGACTAATGAAATCGCTGATCTTAGTAACAAAAAGCTACACAGGTCATCACACACCATTCTACACTCATCCTTCACTCATATTTGGGTTAAAATACGCACCTGTTGTATTTTCAAAATCTACATGCTTTTTCTGAAATTCAAATTAATATTAAATATGTTTTGTTATTATCTGTACAATACTTTGTTAATGTCATTATATGTTATTGTTCTTACGTTGCTGTCTTGTTATTATTTTTTGTTGCAATGCTGTTTTGTTCAATGGTTGTACTTATCTTGTTATTTCCAATGCAATTATTGTATCTTTTCATTCTGCTCATGTGCTTAAAACACATATTATTTTTTAAATGGTGTATCCGTTGATATGAATAAATCGAATAAATAAAATACTTTATTGTATATTGCATGAACGCAAATCAAACATGGTGCCGTGATTCGGTAAAATTCTGGCAACCGAATTTAAAATTTTTTTTTAAATTCTGGCATCGGCTGGTGATGCTGAACCGGATGTATCGTACTTACTGTAAAAACAATTCCATGCTGTCATAGTGATTGGTAAATTTACATAATAATTTCACATTTTACTAGAAATCATGTTGAAAAGAGGATATGAAAGTACATTCTTTCAGTGGCAGTGCTGACGACTTGGAGGGGCTCAAGCGAAGACATTTATGAAAATCTTATGTAAAAGTCTTCATTGTAACTGTAAATGAATCATAGGGTTTTTAACAATCTTAAAAAATTACAACGGAATACAAAACCATGAATACAACAGCGTTGTTTTATGTTTACCAGAAGACTTTGAACTGGAAATTCGGTCTTCTTATATCTTATCGGTCGCTGACTTAAAGTATGTATCCTTATTGTGGGACTCTAAGAGGAAGGAGTTCTCAAGAACACAGACATTTCTCCTCAATTTAAAACTTTTCTTTTATTATTTCCTTGTCCTCTTAGATACACAGCTTTATAACTTACATAAAAACTATTGCTGGTGATTGATTGAATTTTAACCCATGACCTCCAGTGCAGAGGTTCTCCACTATAACCCTAAGAACCAGTCAACCCCTGGAACTAGAGCTGTATAAAATATTTTCCCCTCGTTTTTCGTTTATCTTCAGATTGGCCAGAATCCAGGATGGCTTTGAGAAACAGTGATACTAAATGAATTTCATCTAGAATACATTTTGCTGAAAAGTTATTGAGGACAAAGTTAGACAGAAATACAACCAAGTTTGAGAGAAAATTAAATGTACCGAAAGTAAATAGATAGCGGCAGAAGTCGGTTTAGTGTATGTAAAGTCACCAGACCAACATTATCCAAGAAGCGTACTTTTGGAAGGCAGCCATCTCAGATGCTTGTTCTTGTATTTGTGTCTGTTTTTGCACGGTTAAATTACAAGTTAAACTAGTGGCTTGTAGGGGCAATAGCCCCTATATATATATTCTAGTTATTATTTTGTACAATTTATTAGTCTAATGGGTTACCCTACCTTGAATCATCATTTAAAACATTTTTGTTTATTACAATATCTATAACAGTTATTACATACCTGCATAATGCATTTTGATGTCTGCTCTGTTTAAAATAAAAATTTGAATTTTAATTTTAATTTTAAAATTTTACCGTTTATGCGGAGTGTTTATAATATAAACTTTCTTTAATAAAACACATAGATATAATGTCATCCTCCAAATTGTAAAATCCTAATTCTATAACAAAATCTCTCTGAAAACAACATTTTGTTGTATAGTACCCATTTAGGTCGATTCCTTGATCTTTATTTGATTCTAGTATTATTTTAACATCATCTGGTCGCTTTACGCGGTTAAAAGCAACATAAAGTTGACCATGGGCAAACACTTCAAATAAATGCAAACTTGTGAAGGTTTGGCCTTGCGCTTTAATAATAAGTAATAGCGAAAGCTAATCGAAGTGGGATTGAATCCTTGTAAACTTAAATGGCATATTAGGCTCTGTAGATGTTAGTTTAATTTTTGGCATGAAAAATATGATCCCTTTGCCTACTCCAGTAATTAGTTCTACGTTTACACTTTTTTCAGACATACCTAACACAACCAATCGTACTCTATTAACTAATCCAGACCCTTAAATTGGGAAAAAGTATATTTCAGCTTTATAATCGTATACATATTGCATATTACCATATGCTTTTAAATAAAGATAAACCACATGATTTAAAGTAAACAAAGCCGTAATTAACTGGATTCCTATGCTTTTTAAATTTGAATTTTTTATTCCATAATAACCTTTTGGTGCATTATTAAGAAAAATGAATAATTTTCCCCAAAACTTCATGCCCAGACCTTTAAAATGAGACCCCTCCCAGCTTTCTACGGCCTCCCGTTCGCGCACAATTTCATTGTAAAATTTTGGGCTTACAGAATTAGATATATAGATTACAACAACAAATATTTACACGTTGTAATTTTTCAAAGAAAGTGTTCCTATGGGCAAGTGAAATAAATTATGGAAATTTGAAAATTAATCTATTTTTTTAAAAAGTTATTAGGAAAATGTGCCTCTAAAATTTTGTTTCAAGTATTATTTTTATTTCTCCTAAAATATACAGCCATTCATAAAACCTAATTTGTAGATGAACTAAGTTTAAAGGTGCTATATAATGGATTCATTTTCATATTTTTTTGTTTGTTTTGTGTTAGCGAATTTCCCTATAGGGAAGTAGCTATTACCATAGGTCTCATGGTAAGACCTAGGCCCGTGACCGATTTACTTTTTCATTTTGATGTCCCCAGAGGCCAGAAACACCATTCGTTCAAATTTTTATATATCTATATATAGATATATATATATATATATATGTGTGTCTCAATCCGCACGATAACTTGAGTAATTTTTGTCCGATT